CTGAATGCTTTGGTACAGGGTTATATAGTTTCCTGTTTTTTATTTTGTAACTGTAAGGGCTACAATTGATCCCAATCAGATTCCACAAAGGTGCCTATACTTAGTACCCATACAGATACGCCTACACAAAAGCAGGAATTTCCTAAATATAGAATGGGTAGCCTTGTTCACTTTTTCTATTAATTCCTAATCTGTAATATCTTTCCCTTTGCATCTCTAGATGAAGAATTTTGTGCTAGAGACAAACAGGAATTTCACTTTCTGAAGTAGTCTCCCTGGCTCATGCGCATCCAATTTTTCTTATAAATGAAATATATATGCTGAATTATCAGCATTTCTTCAACCCACTGACTTTCTTTAAAATAATATTAGAACATACTATTAATAAGTCTATTCTGGTATAATAGTCTGAAAGATCTAGATTAAGTGTAAAAGAAAGCATTTGTTCTCTCATACATCCTTCGAAGACTCTTGTATAATGTGAGGGATAGATTAAAGCTATAGATATTCAGACATTTTGGACATAAAGGTTTACAACTTGGTGACTTAGTGAATGTGAAGCAAAAGATGGGAACCGAGGGAGACTCTGAGTTTCTGGCCTTGGGATGCAGATCATTTGTGATGCTGTTCAGTGAGACTGGAAACTTAGTCGCTCCCCTGTCTCTGAAGATAAAGTGCTAGAACTTTGATTATTTTACATTATTGCAGGAATTCCTTTGCTATTATTTCTAATTTGAATTAGAGTTGGTAGGCTGTACTGAAATGTTCAGATTTGGCATAGACTTCCACAGTTTAGGAGACTAGATAGAGTTATGTCTGAGATTTCAGTGCTATGTTGTAAGTAAGACCTCTCAATGGAGAATAGAGCCAGGCACCTGTGGCTCACGCCTGTAATCCTAGCCACTCTGGAGCCTGAGATCTGAGGATTGTGGTTCAAAGCCAGCTTTGGCAGGAAAGTCTGTGAGACTCTTATCTTAAATAAACCACCAGAAAACCAGAAGTAGCTCAAGTGGTAGCACGCTCACCTCAGCTAAAGAGCTGAGGGACAGCGTCCAGGCCAGAGTTCAAGCCCCACAACCACCCCCCCCCCCAAAAAAAATCATGGGAAATAGTCTTTTAAATGTACAATACTTTGATTAGATAGCCTAAATATAAATATATCTTCATTTTTCAACATTGGATGTACTTATGTAGGCATATTTAGAAATAATAGTTGGAAATATGTTTTTGTTTGCCTCCTTTGAATGAAGTCCTATGAGAAACATTTGAAATCATATCCAGATTTTTCTTGGCAGTTTGCCTTTTACCTCATTCTCTTTAATATGTTAGCTATAACCAATCTGGCAATCTTTTCTCTTTCAGATCATTCAACTTCAAGTGGCACACTGTCTTTTAAGCCTAGTCGATCATTGGTTACTCTTCCCACTGCCCATGTGATGCCGTCTAACTCCAAACGCAGGGAATCATTAACACCAGATGGCTCAAAATGGAGTACAAGCCTCATGCAAACCTTGGGAGACCACAGTAGAGGGGATCAGGACTCTTCTCTAGACATGAAGGACTTCCGGCCCCTTCGGAAATGGTCATCTTTATCCAGACTCACTACCCCAGACAACTACAGCAAGGCCACCACTGCACACACAGAAGAGCTGAAGAATGGTTTGGAAAAGACAGGGAGGGGCAAGGCTCTCACATCACAATTGAGGACTATTGGGCCTAGCTGCTTACATGATAGCATGGAGACGCTGAAGTTAGAGGACAAGGAAATAAATAAAAAACGGTCATCAACTCTGGATTGCAAGTATAAATTTGAGAGCTGTAACAAAGACGACTTTAGATCTTCTTCCTCTGCTCTTAGAAGACAGACCTCAGACATGACATACAGTGCCTTACCTGAGAGCAAGCCCATTATGACAGGCTCAGATGCTTTTGAATCTCCAAAATACTTAATGCTTGGGCAGCAGGCAGTAGGTGGAGTTCCCATTCAGCCTTCTGTGAGGACTCAGATGTGGCTTACAGAGCAGTTACGGACAAACCCTTTGGAAGGGAGAACTACAGAGGATTCTTACAGTTTAGCTCCTTGGCAACAACAGCAAATGGAGGAGTTTCGACCAGGAAGTGAAACCCCAATACAGGTAAGGCCCCAAACCTGTTAGCTTCCCTCACCACCCTTCCAGTGGTACGGAGCCCAGTTACCCTTGGGAGCATGAATAGGACAGTGTCCACATTCACTATTTTAAATTTTTTGTTCTCCCACAAGTTACCAAGCACATTATCATAAACTTGACTATTGTATTGCCAAAAATCTGAAAAAGCATTTGAGATTTAAAATGAATCTTAAAGTTTGTGCTTAATTTTGTTTTCACTTTCTCATTTGTTAAATGGGTGTGATAACAAAATGTTCTATTTCAAGAAACTTGAAACAGAGGTTGACATGATATAATATAAAATTGAGAGTAAAATTAGCTTTTCTGGTTCTATCATTATTGCAACCTATATGTTTCCCAACCTATTGCTTAATTTCTCTGGGCCTCGATTAATCTGTAAAATGTAGAATGTAATGTAAATGTAAATATAAAGTCATTTGTAATATTTTGGTAATAATTGCTTTGCATTTATATTTTTAGTCATTCACTTACTTGAAAATAGTGAAAATCTTGAGTGTCGAAATTTGGTGATCAGTTTAAGGAGATCACTTTAGAGAAAGAAAAATAAGGTATTATCATTGTTCCCTAGTGGAATAACAGGTAGATTTGTAATTTCTTGACCTGAAAACATATCTCTTTCAAGACAGTTTTCTATTGCTCATTTGCACTGGCAAACCCATTTTCTGAATCTTGTCATTTTCTTTTTTATCAGAATTCTGTTAAACTATAAAACATTGCAAAACTTATCTAGAGTAAAAATTTTAAATTACTGTTCATTACTACTTATAAAGTTATAAAATATAAAAATTGCTGAAGAGAAGCTCTCCCTGGACATAGTGAAGATCTCTTTACTGACAAACTTGATTATTCTTTCTCTTACCTTCCCTGGCATGTTTTAAATTCTGGCTTGAAATCATTAGCATGAAGAAAATGAGACTTTGTGCCTTTGGGACTTGATCAATCAAAATATTGACACCTGGTAATTTTAAATATTTACGTGGAAATTTTCTCTTGTATAAACAATGACTTAAAGGACCTTTGTCTAACATGACTAGGAATGAAAGAATAAGAAAGCTTTCTAACTTGAAAATATTTTACTGTCTTCTTTGAAAAAAGTTTTCTTTTTCATTTTTGCATCTTGTTTTGTCTTTTAATATTTTTGTTTTAAGTACTTTTTATTAGTATAAATTAAGGAGTTTATTGTGATATTTTTATGCATTGAGGTGTGGACTTGACACTATAGATGTGCACATGACACTCTACCTGTGATATATTCATATTCATGTGTAAAAGTTATTGATATATTTGACTTATATTTTAAAATCAACTTTAATATATAATTTGGCATATTGTTTCTAGATATTTGAAAGTGTGCTGTTACTTAGTATTCAAGCAGACCTTTATATGAAATTCCTGTTTTGCCTGAAGACTCAAAACAAAGGACAAGTAATCTCTATGTTAGGGTGCCCTCTTGTGTTCATATTAGGAAATCTTGTAGACCCTTGCAACATCAACACTACAGTTAGAACAAGTCATTATCAATCTAGCATATATTACAGGGAATTCAATTCATTTTAATATAGATGATTCTGTGCATTTTCATTAAGATTAGCATATGCTCCGCAGTAGGATATTTACTTAAATATATAGCTTTCTGTTTATCAGAAATAAACAGAGTAGTTTAAAATGGTTTTGTTCTGTTTTTAATGATTTAAATATTTCAAAATCTCACACATTAAAATTTCTATGAAAGACAGAATGAAGAAAAAAATATTGTTCTAGTGAGAAAACTCCTGTCACTTCACAGTTAAATTGATACTTTAATCTATGGCACATTATAATGAAAGACATAGGACTTATCAGTTCAAATTTTCCACTTATTTGTAATGTTAGTGCAATTATAGAACATAGGTACTTTTGTACAGATAATTGTTGGACCAGTAGGTTAGTGTATTCTATAGGATTTATAAGTTTCCTGGCTATAATGGGGATCTCCAACCTTTTAAATGAACTGTTGTTGGAGAAATCCCAGGTAGTATGAAATCCTGTTTACCAACTGTTGTACAGATATTCATGAGCCAGAATGATCTCCCTTTCTATTTACATGACATTTGGTGATTCATAGAATTGAAAAGTAAAGTCTTTTTCCATGTTCAGTTAGGACTATTTGTGTTAAAAACCAATGTGGAATTCAGCTCAGGTAGCCTTCAGTTGATGAATGGATAAAGGATGTGGAGTGTATATACTTAATGTAGTACTATTCAACCATAACAGGAAATTATGTCATTTTCAGGAAAGTAGATGGAACTGGAGATCATCATAATGAGCCCAATACACCAGGTTCAGAACGATACATATTGCATATATTTTTTGTATGTGAAATCTAGACCTAAAATAGTATGGGTATATATGTTTTTATATATGTATAATGAAACCTACTACAAACTAAAAAGATTGGAAAAAAGAGCAATGGTTGGTGGGACAATTTGATTAAACTACAATACATACATTTGCAAAATATCATGTTGAAACTCTTTGTAGAATTAATACTAATTTAAAAAGAGACCAAGGGGGACTGGGAAGGTGGCTCAGTAGTCGAGTGCTTGCCTTGCATGCATGAGGCCCTGGTTTTGATTCCTCAGCACCCATAAGCAGAAAAAACTATTAAGTGGCATTGTGGCTCAAGTGGTAGAGCGCTAGCCTTGAGCTGAAGAGCTGAGGGACAGCGCCTAGGCTGAGAGTTCAGGCCCCATGACCGACAAAAAAAAAGACACACCAAGGTCAATATTGATGCTTCATATTCTTTTAGTAATAATATTTTTGGGAAGTTTATTCCTTATTAATTAAATAATATATAATTATATAATTATAAAAATATATACTATATCTTGAATGTAAGCCACTTTGGACTTGGGTTAAATTTTAGTGTATTTATTTCTGAAACATTTTTTACTTCTGTTATTTTATTAGTTGTTAGAGGATGTTTAAAAATGACAAGGGAAATTGAAAATATATTCAGTAAGAAAGAAATTGTAGATTAGCATTTCTGGATCTTTTCCTGAGCTCATTGATGTAGCCTACAAAATGAGTATTAATTGTCTGATTGGTAGATTCAGGAAAATAGTTACATCCTATAGGTCAGAATTTTGTTTAAAATATAATATAGGAATTAGTTAATATTTGGAGATAGAATTCAAATGTTTATTTCTCATAATGCTTGAGATAATATATTTCTCATTGGAAATTTTTTTGTTTCCTTGCCTTCATTGGTTATAAGGTTGGAATAGAAGACTATCTGTGAAACCAAAGATAGAGTATGACAAGTTAGGGTATTTGATAACCAGTACATATCAGTGCTTTTTGACTTAAAAATATCATTTTACGTCCCAGAAAGAAAGGTTAACTTACTTAAACTAGAATGTTAGAATGTTAATCTAGAATAGAAAATGAAAACAGTTTTAGAATATAGGCTCTGATAAAAACTAATTACCAAGAATTGTAATTAAAAATAGTAAAAGTATATAGATGTGAGAAATCAGTGGGTTAATTTAAAGGCCACTTCATTTAAATTATTTGAGTACTTGGTGAAAACTTTGAATACTTATTATCTTAAGAGTTTTTAAAGTGCAACATAAATTATATTACCTCAATGAGTAAAGATGAGGCTATACATATAAAGTGAACTTACTAGCAGTGCTGTTTCCAAATTAAAACTCTGAAAGACATTCATAAACCATTTTGAGGAAATCAGCAGTTACATTTTTATGCACTTATAGTCATTATATGGTTTGAAAATAAGCCCTTTTCATGTTTACAAGATCCAGCAGATGAATATATTTGCTAACAATTTTTGCTCTTAATCTTAATGTTTTGACAAGGAAATTTTTCTACTTGGGAAGTATGCTTTGGTGTTTTCCCCTCTTCGTGGGATGGCAGATTTTAAGATGATGTGGCAAGTTGCATGTCTTGAGTCTGCAGCAGAACTTCAGAGAAGCATCACGATGATGCAGATTAGCAGGAGACATATTAAGATGAGACAGAAATTGACAAATAGGTTCTGGAGGTTTTGACGTGCTTGTTGGGGCATTTCAATAGTAGAGGCTCTTCTTATAGCAGAGCGAGTGAGGTACTGGACTTTCTCCATGATACTGGGAAGGCAGCAGTCTACAGTCCCAAGATGGTCAAGAGAAAGATAAAAAGCTGGCAGCCAAATGTGAGATAACTGTCTTCTTTTAGTTTTCCTAGAATATAAAAATAATAAATGTATTAAGCTCGTGTGTAACTTGTTCTCTGAATTGATAAGACAGAATTTTACGCTAATCTGTTTTCCTCTTCTCTTGGTATTTTGTAACCAAAACTTCAAATGACTCCATAGTCTCTCTGTGTGTACATGCATATGTTTCTCCATTATTTTTTCTATCTTTTCTTGGTGGCATGTATTATTACAGTCTCATTTTTCTTGTGCTTGTGCCTTCTTTCAACTTGACTGCAAGTATTGCTTGGTTGATGGTACAGCTTGTTTTTGGTATATCTTCGGATAAAAGTTCTTACATATGGTTTCTCATAATTGATGTGCTCATTAGTACATTAATTTCTCCAGAGCTAAAAAAGAAATGCATCTAACCCAATTATTCTTGAATCTTGATTTCCTCCCCAAAATGAAATAAATGTGAAGTTTAAATAAATTTCTACTGTTTGGGGCTGGGAATGTGGCTTAGTGGTAGAATGCTTGCTTAGCATGGATGAAGCCCTGTGTTCAAGTCCTTAATACCACATAAGCAAAAAAAGCCAGAAGTGGTGTTGTGGCTCACGTGGTAGAGTCCTAGGCCTGAGCTTCTTTAAAACTCAGGGACAGTGCCCAGGCCCTGAGTTCAAGCCTGAGGACTGTCAAAAAAAATTCTACTGTCTGTCATGCCCATTTATGATTTTATACCAAGAGTATCACTTTAAAATAACATTTCAACAAGCTTTGATATTAAGTATTGAACACTTGTTAAGCTTGGAAGTCATAGTTTATCATTATTGCATTATGTACCATGGACAGTTCCAGTTTAAACGTGTGCTTAGGAGGAATGATTTGTGCCTTGCCTTCTGTCAAAGCTTTTGTAACATATTGGTGTACTACAGAGCCCGAACCTTTGATAATTAATAAAAGAAAATAAAAGGATAAATAGGAAAAATAGGTATAGATTTAAAATTCAGTATAAATTATCCAGGGATAATTGATAGTAACACTTTGGAGATATTTTAATTTTTATCAAAATACTTTTCTACCAATTTTTAAAATAATTAAACTTAAACATGGATTATAAAGCCATAGTTAACAACCCAGAGATAATGGTGATGAAGATGTCAATATATTTGTGTGAGGATTCAGTGCTATTTATTCAGTATTTTGGTGGTCCTGGATTTGAACTTAAAGTTTCATAGTTGCTAGACAGGTACTCTATCATGTGAACCATGCCTCCCAGGCTTTTCTGGTTATTTTTGAGATGAGATCTTGCTATTTTTTTCTGGAGTGTCCTGAACCACAATGTTTCTATTTATACTTTTTCCGTTAGCTGGAATAACAGCTCTATACTAATACGCCCAGGTTTTTCTTTTTACTGGAGATAGTCTTGCGAACTTTCTGGCCTGAGCTGGCCTGGAAGTGTGGGCCTCTTGATTTTAGCCTCCCACATAACTGGGAGGACAGGCATATTGCCACCATGCTCAGCTATTGGCTGTGAATGGCACCTTAAACTTTTGTCTGGCTGGCCTCCAACCCTGAGTAGCTAGGACTATAAGTGAGAGCCACCACCACTGGGCTAAAAATTACCTTGAGAAAAGTAAAACATGGAAAAGGAGATGCAGTTTATCATGAACACAGGACTCATCCATAACCTGACTGTGATGAGTGGTGCTTCATAAAACAGGTCATGTTCCTATAAAAACTCCATTCCATTTAATGACTTTGTCCCTCCCTTGCCCCTGGTCACTTTACTGCTTGGTAAAACCCAGTTGATCCTTAAGGCCAAGTTTAAATATTGTTTCCTGATAAAAGTTGTATTAGTCATTGAAGTAGAATTGGTTATCAATTCTGCTGTGTTTTTAGTATGACTTCAGTGTGACTGTATCTGGCTATCAGGCTGTTGCATACTTTGTCAGCGTCCCTAACTGGCTTTTATGAACAAAGGAATGGTATATTCATTTTGTCTTAGTACTCAGTTCAGGATTGGCACCATGCGATTAATATAGTTGAGTGAGAGATTTTTTTAATCACTAAACCTTTCTTATTATATATGAGAAGAATAAGGCTCAGAGAATTGACCTAAGTTCATAGTGTCTTCATGAACACATTAACATGAATAGACTTTGTACACATGGACATTTGATGTTTGTGAACTAGAAAGAGGTAGGCCCTAAAAACATAGATTATACTGTTGAAAGTATAATTAGTAAACTCTCGATGACTTTTAAAAAATTTAACAGCCTAGTGTTGTTGAAAAATGAAGTGGATATAAAGAACAGACCAGATTAATGACAGTGACCTGTTTCTTGTCAAACTTGAGAAAATTTGACACAGTTCTGAAGATAGTCATTTCATAATTTTATTCTAAAACTGAAAAAAATGCTAGTGGTATGCATTTAATTTTTTAGGTTCAATTTACTTTATAGTGATATGATCTGAACTGTGTTGAGTCTTAATTCTGATGGTCTAGTTAATTAGCTACACTTCATCCATAGAAGGGAAGGCTTCCTGTCAGATACATCAGAATGAAAAGTTGATTGTGAAAACAGCATACTCTTATATTTGGAGTTGTGTGTCACTTTTACTACATCATAATTTATGTCATGGTGTCAGATGTTTATCATTTTTTTCTGTGAACTGACCAACACCCTACATACTTAGAAATTCTGTTGTCATCATTCTTTTTCTTTTATTATTATTATTATAGAGTAATACGTGATGGGAAGGTATTTTATTGTTATGTAATATGATCATTTTAGAGCATTCTTTTAGGATAATGAGAAATAATGTTGAGATGTTCTAACCTTGCTTTGCCAGCTGCAGACACTGAGATTATTCTGGCTCTTTTATGAAAAGGATAACTGTTAATAATGGGTGCAAGAGGAATATTCATTTGCAGACTAACTTAAAAAGTAATTCTTTATTAAGGCCCTCATATCAGAGCATTGAAAGGTATTTGATGGGAGATCAGAGGCAGCAATGAGTTCTGTTTCATCAGTAAGATCCCATGCATTCTTGTGCAAAATAAGACTCAACAGGCTTTATAACGTTTTGATGTCTGAACTGGTGTCTAAGTAATCAGCAACTTAACACTTTCCATGCTTTATAGAACTTTCTGAATTTCAGACTTTGTGGAGTTAATACTTTAGCCAAAGTCATACATTCTTGGGATTCTTTGTATTTGTAGATTCTAGAAATTTATTTTTAGAATTTTATTTTTGCATTTTAGCAAACATGGGCACTAAATAGCTTGTCAGTGTTCTTAACCTGCACGGTTCTGAAGAATGCATTACCAAATACACAAAAAATGAAGCCTTGGTGTAGGGCTCCACCCAGGACACAGTCTAAAACTTATAGCTACTAAATTCAAATAATGAGGTGCTCACCTCAGATGGTCTCTACTTAATTTTTCCATTTATTTAGTATAGAAGATTAGATAGAACACCCTACAGATTGAATTAGCAAGACTTAAAAAAATTACAATTATTAAGAGTTTCAAGTTTTTTCTGCTACTAATGGTTATTCCCACAATGGTTATTCCAAGCCAGAAGTGCTTGTATCTTTTTCACCTGTAACCTATTGGTTTATAAAAGTTCACTCCATGTGATAACTTTATTGTCTAAGTTTTAGCCTTGGAAGTTCTATTTTAAATTACTTGGTGGCAACATTCTAGCATGCTTAGTACAGACTGGATGTATGAAGAAATCTTTTTCAGCTGCTTCCAACTAGGTGTGGTCAGAGCTCTGTAATCATTAATATGGGTGTAATTCCTGAATAATTGGTGTCACAGTGTAATGTCTTGGCTTTAAATTTCTGCCTCAAGGAGAGCTTATTAAATAGCAGCACAGATTTTTCCTCCAAAATTGGTACATAGTTGTTGCTACTATGCTTGTAGACCTATTTGTATTACAATATTCTTTCTCATTTTTTGAGTCTTGGGCCTTCTGATTCTTTTTGTTGTTGTTGTTTAGTTTGGAGCAGCTATGGGGCAGAATGTTGGGGAAGTCTGAAGGAAAAATGTAATTGAACAAACCTCATTAATGTGAGTGAATCTGTCAATTTTGTTGGAAGTGAATGGAGTTCATCTTACACAGCACTAGAGGGCCTCAGTTGACTGTAAGTGTACTGGGTGGAGTCCTACACCAAGGCTTCATTTTCATGTGTTTATCTGGTATTGCATGTGGAACCCTGTAGGGTAAGAACACTGACAAGCTACTTCTGTTCATGTTCGGAGACAATATCTTAGCCATACATGGTTCTGTATGTTCTTGATTCTCAACCTCCAGATTTACTTGTTTGTCTGTACATGTGGAAATTCTTATTTCACATGAAAACTAGTGATTCTCATAGATTAAATATCAATCAAGAGTTTTGTTTAGGCACTTTGAGAAAAAGCTTGTATATTTAAATGATAGAATGAGGGGTTAGAAATAAAATTGATGGAACATGAGGATTTAATATGGAAACAGGAAAAATGAAGTTTTTTTATGGAAAGGCATGAGGAGAAAGAAATTAATCTGGACTTTTTTTTAGGAAACTAAATAAATTAAGGGTGTAATTGTAAAACAAGCTAATTAGTAAGGGACTTTATATTGATGTGACATGTTATTTTTTAAATTTCTGTGATTATTTTGAATTTTTCAAAATGATTATTTAATAACTAAGGATATCTATAATGTCTCTGGCTTTGAAAAGGCTGACTGTATAAATTGAAATGAAACAATGGTTTAAAATTAATATTTGTGTTGTATAAATTTGTCTTATAAAATGCCATTTATCATATGTACTTTAGTTTCCTTTGTCAGTGTTCTGCTTTACTTTTTTAAACTACATTGGTATATAGAATGCATATGTGCTTTAGAGTTGTAAGACCTAGGCTTCTGCAGTGGTCCTATTTGTGTCATCTTAAATTATTCCCCTATTTGTGTGATCTTGAACTATTTTCCTTTCTGAGAATGTTTCCTAAATTGTGAAGTTGAGATTCTGTGCCAGAGAATTAAGACCAAAGAAAACATTTGTGTATATAAGAGTATTTAGAAAATTGTTCTTCAACAAAAAGGAAGTTTTTCATTTTTTATTTCTAGAGTTGGTAATAAATATATCTTATAACCCTTATTTCCAATGAAACTTTTAATACATTAGTTAATTAATTATATAATAAAGTATTTAAATAAATTTTATACAGTAAATTTTACTTTTTGCAAATATTAATGCAAATATTCCGATATTTCTAAATATTTAGATTTATACAAATATTTTATACAAATATTCTGCTATCTCTATAATCAGTGAGATCAAGAAACAATGTGTATTTATAACCCAAATGCAATCTCATTTATGCAAACCTGCTATCTCTAATCAGTTAATGAAATTAAGAAATTATATGCATTTTAGTATTTACTCAAATGTAGCTATTTTGCTTTATGTCCTTAAAATAATTTTGATTTGTGAATATTAGGAAATAACAGTGGTAAATCTTTAGGAGACAACTGTGTTAGTTCTTTGACTAGTTCTTAAAAAATAATCTATTTCATAATTTACTTGGCCTGAATATTTTTTCTATTCAATTTAATCTAGCAATTCTTTTAGCACTTAATTTTAAAGTTCATGTCTTTGAAAACAGACACTAAAATGTCACCTTTAAACAGACATGAACTAGTTCAGACATAATATCTGGCACTGTGGCATTATGTTTAAATTTTTAACTACAGTCATTTAATTGTGTCATTCCAGTAAACTGGATATAATGTTTACCTGAAGATTAGTAACAAAATTTCTTTTGTAGAAGTTGTGTACTTTGAAGTATGTGATAATGAAATTATGTTGAAAACCTCATTAACTGGTAATGTAGATGAACATCCTAACAAAAGCAGAAATATGCATATAAAACACTCACTTAGAGGGTGCCTCAGTAGTAAATAAAAACTTCAGCTGTTTTTGTATGTCTTAAGGAAAGCTGCTTAGGAGAATACAAAGTTCATATTTGGCATGAGCAGCAGAGTTAATTATTAACATGTATTTAGTAATTGTATTTAGTAATTGAGAATTCTAGAGGTAAGTTTTATTTTAAAAAGTGTGATTTCATATGTCCTGAGACAGATTTAAGAATGAGGAAACATTTCATTTATTAATTGAGAATTATAAAAGAATTTAAACAGAAATCATAAAGTTTATTGTGATATCTCCATCCCTTGGAAATTGAGAAACACTGGAGGACATTAATTTTTGATAGATGTATCATTAGTAAACATGCATTTAAATTTCTTCAAGTGAAATATTTAAGAATGTTTGTATGCCAAAAAAGCCTTTATTCTGTAACATTGGAAAAAACTTTTTAAAGTGTTTGTGGTAAGTGTTTTAAAGTTTGTTTTTTTATGATAAAGTATTGAACTTAAAGTATTGAACTTAAAATAAGCAATTCCATTATTGCAAACATGCATGTTTTGAGTAGTTTTTGAAAGTTGACTGCAGTTTATGAAGGAAAATCTCTCTCTAAGTTCATTTTCAGAGTACTTTGTATAAAATTATTTTTATATTACTTTAAGAATCATGACTATTATATTAGATTGGGTATGCTGATAATGTTGTCACACAACTATTCATATTGTCCAGATGGAAACAAAGAGCCCAGTCGTGCACTGGATCTCAGCAAAGTAACATGTAATCAATGAAGCCATTGTTTTTGCATTGAAAAGTAAAATCATCACTACCAGTATATATGGTAACATAATTGGAAATTCCTATTTGAAAAACTAAGTATGAGATTAAGATTAAAATAGCAAACCCATAACCAGGATCTGTGATCCAGGATCTTTGATGTTGGTTAAGCTTATTTTTATCGTCACAAAGTGGATAAGCTAGAAATTAAAGATGTTATTTTCGAACTTTGGACTGAAATTTAGCAAGTGTGATTAATTACATAAAAGTTCAGTAAGTCTGAATTGTAGAAAATAAAGATTTCCAAAATTAGGAGGCTGCCTTACCTTAGCTTCTGTGTTCGTCACAATGAAGGATGTCGAGTTGTGTGAAGTGTTGCTTAGCTGGGAAGTTTTCTGACTCTTAACAGGTTTATTCAAACAGTTGCTGTAGGTGAAGGAGAAAAAATAGGGAGGTCTTTATGATGTCACACAGGAATTCTGAAGTTATGATTGGTTAACCATAATTATCACAACCAAACTTTAGAACTTCACTACTAAACTCTAGGATTTCATTTTTTCTCCTTTAGATATGCAAAGGTCATTAACACTTTGTGCTTTATTTTTTAGTTTTAATTTTAAGAGGTATTTGGGAGAGGAATGAAAGAAAAAAGCTTGGGATGGTAGAAATTGTTCATCTTCAGTCTTAGAGGCAATTGTAATCTGATGTTGATGTTAAAGAGCTAAAATGTATGCTGTAGTAGATATTTTAAAAGAATAATGATCCAGGTTTATGTGAAACAACTTTGAATCGAGCTGCTAATGTTGCATTGATACTGGTGTGTAGCAAGATAGTTAAATATTTTCACTGAATCAAATTTTATACCTTTTCCTAGCTTATATTGTTTGTCTGGTGTTTATCACATAACAAGTTAAAAAAAAACTTTATCTTATACAATAAGAACTAATGAATGGATAGGTGTTTTCTTCTATTTAACAACATTTTTATGAGTAACCCCACATTTAAATAGTTTTTTCTCAAGAAAAACTTTATAAATTTAAGGTTTTTTGAGTAGCTACATAAAATTACCATAACATTCTAATAAATTTTATCAAGCAGACACTGCAAAAAAAATGATTAAGTTGTTTTGCAAGACAATGAGGCTTCACTGACACAATTTAACGTTTAAGTATTTTTTAAAATTATTATTTAAGTAGCTATACAAAGAAGTTCCCATTCTACAAAACAGTATATGAGTACAAAGTATCTGGCAACATCGTTAAGTATTTCTTAAGTATTACTAGTGGAATGATATGTTAGGAACTTTCTGGAATAGTTTATACAGAAGTGAGGAAAGAGCCCCTTTAAGAAGCCACAGCATCAAGCATCATTCTCATGTTTCCTATTTGTGCAGCATCTTATTTACTGAAATCACTACTATTACTGAAATTACTACCCTTGCAAATACAATTTTTAATCTTTTTTATTTTGGAAGAAGTACTTGTATTTTAACTTTTGTAGCAAAGTGAACTTAGCTTGTTTCACTTTCTTGTGGGTAACTAAAATGTGTAGCGGCAGCTGCTACATGCCCTTAAATGGAGATGATCTTGGCTTCTTCCAAAGAAAGATACAATGCTTCTCTTCAGCACATCTCATGTTATTTAAAGAATCATTTTTAAAAACCAACTGAAAAAATAATATTTTAGCAAAGATCCTCTGTAAACATTGCTAAGGGAAAGCTTACAATTTAAAGTAAACTGTGAATTAATGTTTAACACTACTCAGAGCTTTACAACCATTTTTTCCTTTGGATTGAAAGAAGCTTTACACAATAAGACCCTTACATAATCAGGGTCTCCTATTTTCAATTGTCAATGATGATTGTTAAAATGAAACCTTAGAAGTTTAGAGTAGCTTAGAGTAATTTGAAGACGATAATATAACTGTCAAAGGACAGACTGAAAATTCACATCTAGATGTTTAATTTTAATTAATTTTAATTTCTGATAAAATTTGCATGCCAGAGAAAAATTTAGATATAGCTTTTATAGAATTGCATATATCAAGTAAGAAATTCGTAAAATGGAGATACATTAATTACTTGGAAATTATAACTATTTTTGGAAATCTACCCTATTTTTGGAAATCTACCCTATCTGTCAAAATTACATATTCATTTGAAAATGAAGGTTAAGAAATAACTTATCATAGTAGAAATACTTATAAGAATATGGAGTTAGGAGGGAGCAACAATGCTCCATAGGCAGTGCACTCATTTACTTTACTCATGTAACTGTAACCCCCTTGTACAGTATCTTTACAATGAAAAATAAATATTAAAAAATATGGGGCTAGGAAGGTGGCTCAGTGGTAGAGTGCTTGCCTTGTATGTATGAGGTCCTGGGTTCGATTCCTCAGCACCCCAAAAGCAGAAAAAGCCAGAAGTGGCACTGTGGCTCAAGTGATAGAACGCTAACCTTGAGCTGAAGAGCTGAGGGACAGCACCCAAGCCCAGATTTCAGGCCCCACAACTGACCAAAGGAAAAAAAAAAAGGAGTTAATAATACTTAATTGGGTAAACTAGGGAACCGTGGTAGACTGAAAAAAATACCACCTCACATTTATAGGTTTACTTATGCACACATACATAGCTTAGAAAGATGTTGTATATGTCAGAGTTGGAAAATGGAAATAAAAAATTATTTATATGAGGACAAGCAGCCTTTTTCTTCTTTGGTTGACTGACGGTGGTGGTGATTCCATGTGTAATCCCTAGGAAGTATTAAGTTTTAGTTTTAGCCTAATTCTGTAAACAAAGTTTTTGAAGAGGAGCATTGAGAAGTTATTCAGTATTTCTCAGCAATTAATTCAGCTAAGTAGAAGCTGGAAAACAAAGTGTTTTTGACTGTCTGCATTTGGAATCATCCTATTTATTGCACTCACTTTTGGAGTTACCCTTATCCAAGTTACTTCTCCAAAGTACCAAATCTGTGGAATGTCTTTGTTGTTGAGAGGGTTTACAATGTCATGAAATATATGTGGTGATATTAAATATTTACAACATAGTATCTGTTTGGTATTTATTTTCTCTTTCCCTTTAGAGGGTGGATCGTTAGCTTATGGTGCTTGGATAGAATGCAGAGATTCTTTGAACTTGAAAAGGAAAATAATTACATCTTTATTTTCAAGAAGCTACAAATTAAATTTAGCATTTGTTTCAGTTTTGACTGTAAACTATGGTAAACAAAAAATGTTTACCATACATTTAGCTGTGACCATAGAAATAGCAAATAATTTCATATGTGAAATCTTGTGGGCTTCACATCCATGGAATCAACCAACAGCAGACTAAAAATGTTTGAAACAAATTGCATCTGTACTAAATGTGTACAGACTTGCCTTTCTTGTCATTATTCTCTAAAAAATATAGTACAGCAATTAATGACATTTATATAGAGATGATTTTCAGTGTTTGGGAAGATGTGTGTAAGTCATATGCAAATATGCCATTTTATATAAGAGACTTGAGCATCTGCAGATGTTGGAATTCAAGGAGACTGGAGTCCTACAGATACCAATGGATGACTGTATTATGGCTATTGCAGGTAACTTGAAATATTGTATAATGCATCATTGCCTTGAAATCACCACAAGACCTGCCTGTAGATAACAATGTGTTAATAAATCACATACATTACTAGACTGCAAATTTGGTTTTTAAACAAATTTAATGTAGTTTCTTGTTTTTAAGTGTGAGAGCAGTTTGAAATTTGTAGCAATATTACAAATATAATGGTGGTGTTATATACACATTCCACACCCATTTCCACATGTCCTACATTAATATGGGATGCTTGCCCAACAATTGCACCAATGTTACTATGTATTTTACTTAAAATTCCTATTGAATTCAGATTTCTTTCCTTAATGTCTTTTTTTCTGTAACATGATAGACTCCAAACTAACACTGATATTGTTAGCTTTAGAAATCATGTCTCCTTCAGCCTCCTCAGTTGTGACAATTTCTCAGACCTTTCTATTTTGACAGTACTAGTGGTTCTGAAGAACAGTGGTCAGATATTATGTGGAATGTCCCTCAAGTGGAATTTTTCTGTTGGTTAGTGTGGGTAATTTGTTTTGGATATGAAGTCCAGAGAGGTGTCATTTTCATTGTATTACCAGGATATAATCATGAGTAATCACTGTTCATGTCAAACCTTGATCAGCTGATTGAAATGTCCTTTCATCTGATTTTTCCTCTCCTATTCTTTTCCAAACTTTACTCTTTGGAGTTATAATAGGGAAACTTTCCATTGCTAAGTTCAAGGCTGAAGTTTTTATAATGCAAGAGAGATTAACAAGAGAAGAGCACACAAACTTGTTTTATATAACTTACAGAAACTTTCTTTAGGAAATGAAGACTCATGGAAACAGGTCAAATGTATCTTGTTGGATTATCAAAAAAAAGTATGATTGGGTAAAGGAGTTATGATCTGATGATTAAAAAAAAACTGAAGGGAGCTGAGGAAGGCCTATTGGTTCAAATAATCTGTCTCTTGTGTCTTCAGAGATGAGGCTTTTCCTTTCCTCTGGGATTAAGGAGAGCCTTTCTACAATGAGAAAGGAAGGGTAGAAGAAGGTCAAGAGTGATTTCATAGGCTATGTGATCTGCTTCAGGGGGAGAAGAGTGAGGAGAAGGTAAAAGTGGTTTTCCTACCTCTGCTGTTCTTATATCCAACATGCTATGTTTTGGAGTAGTTTACCCTCAACCCTATTATCATAAGTCATTATACACAGACTGCGTTTGTACTCCATTACCTGAAGTGTGTAGTATCTACAAAACTTACTCGGAATCCTATTTATGTATGTAAAAGCATTCTGAGACAGATCAGTAGGATTCAGCAGTTCCCAAAAGGATCTATCATACCAAACATTTTTGTATTAGAGGCTGTTCCTGTAGTTGTGTGAGATAGCCCTTTTTTGAAAGAGACTTGAGTATTTCAGTGGGCTAAAATCCATACTGTTGAGCTTTGTGTTTTAGGCCTTGTCTTTCTTGTTTGTCCATTATCACATTCCTTTGTGTCCTGTGCTCTGCCTCTGTACAGCCCCATGTGACCCCATGGAAAGGATACTGCTCTATTTTAAGCCTGGGTACTTTTTGTAGGAATGTCCTACCAACCGTTGTTCCCATCATAGTGCTGTGTCAATTTATCTTTTCTGTGAAGCTTTCCATGCCTTATGCCAAACAGTTTTACATGGACGTCTTGTTGTTGTTGTTGTTGTTACTACTATCATCATCATTGTGGTGTGGTGATCAGTTTGTGTATCTGCCTAGACTACAAGCTCTTCCAGAGAGCCAGTTCAATAGCTATCATTCTGCTTCTTCTTCTCCTTTATTTTTTTTTCTCCTCCTTCCTCC